AGGATCACTCGAGCCCAGGAGTTTGAGGTTGCTGTGAGCTAGGCTGACGCCACGGCACTCACTCTAGCCTGGACAAAAAAAAAAAAAAAAAAAAAAAAAAAGGTTGAGAAGTGCTGATTTCCTAATACATGCCCTTTGGGAGACCTACTGTTTATAAATAAAGGACTTTGGTAGGGTAAGTTTATTTTGTTCTAATATTCTCATAAATCTATAAAGGCAGGATATATGAAAACTGAGGACCAGTGAGCAAAATTGCAATGCTATTAGTGATTACATATAACTCCACAGTGACGCCTCTATGGAAGACTCAGCCAAAAAGTAGTGTGTCAGATCTTCATATTTATTTCCCTATACTCCCCTTCCTCCAATTCAAACCGCCACCACCATAACAAGGGTGAACATTCACACACTTACTTTTTCACCTGGACTAGTGCAGTAGAATTCCTCATTCCAAACCATGTTTCATAATGCATTCAGAATGATCATCTTCAAAATCTTCTCTTATTATGATCCTTCACACAAAAAAACCTTTCAAGGTACTCAGGGTCTCCACGATGAGGCCCAAACTCCTTAGCCTATAATTCAAGGTCCTCCATGATGTGATCCTAGGCTCACCTCATCTCCTACTGCACCCTCAATGCTAGCGTCACACATTTTCCAGAACATATCACACCTGTTTCTGTCTCAGCTTCTACGCTCAAGCTGGTCTCTTTACTAGGAATGGTTTTCCTTCACAAATTCTTACCCAATAAAACTTCACTTGTTAAAACCCACAGTTCAAATGTCCCCTTCTCAGCAAATCCTCCCTGAATATCTGGTCATCCCTAAAGTCCTTCATTCATTGAACAGACATTGAGTACTTATGCACCAGGCACTATATAAGTGTTAAAGATGTAATGATAGGCCAAATAAGTATGGTCTTTACCTTCATAGAGCTAATACATATCTCATTGGATTGCTACGAGGACTAAATGAAATGAAATAGATAAAGCACTTAAAATAGTATGTAGTACAATCATGCTCAATAAATATTAGCTATTCGTATTGCTGCTTAACCATCCTATCTAAAATAGTTGCCCTCCCATACACACACATCACTTTATATCTTACCCTGGTTTATTTTTTCTTAGCATTTGCAACTACTCTCATTATATATTTATAGATCTGTTTGTTATCTATCCTTTCCCCATTTTTTTTTAAACCACTGTAACCACAGTGCCTACAACCTGGCCCTTAGCAGCAGGTCAAAAACAATCTCTATACCAATAATTTTTACATTCTGTAGGTAGAGACAGACTCTAATAAAATAACTATAAGCTATTAAAAGTACAATTAATATATATTCTATGAGAAAGAGCTACATAATAAAGACGGGTATGACCTACGTTTTTTTAAGGCAGGCAGAACAGATAGGGTTCTCTTGAGTTCCTTGAATTAAGAACTCCAGGATATGTCAAAATTAAGTAAGCAAGAGAGAGTACCACCACAGGTCATTTGAACATGCTGTTCCTTCTATCTGGACTACTCTTTCTATAACACAACTCCTATAATTTGATCCCTTAGTTCTCTACTTGAAAGTAAAATCCTCTGCAAAGTCATCCTTGAGTATCCCACTCCATTATGCCACAATTTCCCCTTTGTTAGTACATTGAGAATGTACTAAAACTCTTCACATTTAAAATTGCAGACATAAGATACAAAAGGCAGGGATCACATCTGTTTTACTACCTATGATATCCCCAATGCCAACATAGCTGATGGTACTCCAAAACCACTGTCAGAATGAAAAGTAAGGACTGTATCTTAGACCAGTGGTTCTAAAATTGTGGTCCACAAACCAGCAGCATCAGAATTACATGGGTTCTTGTCAGAAATGCAAACTCTCAGGCCCTTCCCCAAACCTAATGAATCAAACTGGGGGGGTGTTGGGGAGAGCAAGTCCTTCAGGAGATTCTCATTTTGAAGTCTGAGAATCATCTTAAACATCTCAACTATTTAAACATAACATAATAGGCCGGGGGCAGTGGCTCATGCCTCTAATCCTAGCACTCTGGGAGGCCAAGGCGGGCAGATTGCTCCAGGTCAGGAGTTCAAAACCAGCCTGAGCAAGAGCGAGACCCCGTCTCCACTATAAATAGAAAGAAATTAATTGGCCAACTAATATATACAGAAAAAAATTAGCCGGGCATGGTAGCACATGCCTGTAGTCCCAGCTACTCAGGAGGCTGAGGCAGGAGGATTGCTTGAGCCCAGGAGTTTGAGGTTGCTGTGAGCTAGGCTGATGCCACAGCACTCACTCTAGCCTGGGCAACAAAGTGAGACCCTGTCTCAAAAATAAATAAATAAATAAACATAACATAATAAACATTTGACAAATATACAATATAAAGCTTTATAAGAATCATTCATTCAACTCTATTTATTGAGTTCCTACTAAACATACCGCACAAGGAAAACAAAAAAAAGTAGCCTCTACAGACAATTCCTAGTTCATAATAAGCTAATATTTTGTCTATTTTCACCTCTCCTGTACATGTGCTCTTACTCTGTGTGTCAATGGTAAGGAAAAATCAAGTTAGTTAGAGGCAAAGTCTAAAACATAATCATGCCTAATATAACTGCTATGGTCTGAATGCTTGTGGCCCCTAAAAATTCTTATGTTGAAATCTTAACCCCCAAAGTGATGATATTAGGAGGTGGAGCCTTTGTAAGTGATTAGATCACCAGAGCAGAACCCTCAGGAATGGGATTAGTGCTCTTATAAAAGAGGCTCCAGGGAGCTGTCTTGCCCCTTCCACTATGTGTGGGCACTGTAAAAAAAAAAAAGATGCCATCTATGAATCAGGAAAAGAACTCTCACCAGACACTGAATCTGTTGGGGCCTTGATCTTGGACTTCTCAGCTTTCAGAACTCTGAGAAATAAATTTCTGTTGTTTATAAGCAGTTTATGGCTTTTGCTACAGCAGACTAAATGGACTAAGACAGTATCTTTCTAGCTTCATTTCCTACTATACATCTTCATTCTTGCATCTTTCCATGCTATATAAAGGTAATCCTGCTTCCTACAATGCATCCTAATTCTTTTTCACTTTCTACTCACATTCACATTGAAGCATTCTTTCTCTTCCCAAAATGATCTATATAAATCCTATTCATCTTTCAGGCCCACCTCAAATGACACTTTCGGATCCTAAACACCCAAATAGGAGTACATAACTCCTTCCTAATTACTTATACATTTATTATCAGTGGGAAGGCTCACACTTCCAAAAATCTAGCAATTTGATGTCTTAGGGAGGATGGCTTGTTATTCTAAAGAGAATATCACCATACCTCACTAAATTTTCTTTTTGCACCAAAAATAAGATTCTCAAACTCACTCTGAATAGTCCAGTTGCCTCAAATTTCAGTTTAAGATTACACTTGTCAGGTGGAAAAATGAGACCATAAAGTAAATCATTCAAGCACCTCGTTGGACTGAGCACTAGGAATAACAGGACTAAGTAAGGCACAGTTGCTGCCTATAAGAACTCATATTCCATAAAGAGAAGGAGGTAGGCACACAATAACAGGGTGTTGGGTTGTGAAAGTGAAGGAGACAGACACAGGAAAATGACAACCTAAAAATGCAGGAGCCAGCGAGTTAGGGAAAGTTCACAGATTAAACGATTTTATAGTAATCCACTTTCCTAAAGAACAGATGGAGGGAAAATAGAAACTGACTAACCTCCAAGGAGAATATGATTGTCAGGATTTAGTTTTGACTAGAATGTCTATTCCTCTCAGAGTCCAAAATTTAGCTTGTTGCATATGATGGAGCAATGTTTTCAATAAATGTACTGCAAACCACGTGTAATACAACTCAATGAAAAAAAACCAACTGAAGTCTCAACCTATTTTGAAACAGGAAGGAGACAATTTGCAAATATAAGGTTCTCCCAATTAAAGCAGAAAGGGCAAAACAAATGAACCCTTTAGAAGGTATTAAAGAGGCTGTAACAATCTGACTGCCAAGCAAGCTGATTGTCAGTCCTCAAATGCCCTTGGTCTCTGCCTCCAAAAAAACACAAATCATTTGTTCTAAGTTATAACAGTCAAGCCTGTAAATAAATATTTTTAAATTTCCCAACCTGTACCTCCCCACTAAAAGATGCTAAAAAAAAAAAAAAATCAAAATATTTTTTAGCTACTTTTGTCAAAAGGCTAAATATCTCATAAGGTCACAGCATGCATGTGGGCCCTCACTTTATCACTGTATATATAACACACCATCTCAGGTTTTGCAACGACAGTAGGTAATAAGGCTTCCATGCTCTCTTCAACACCTCAAATCTCCCCTTTCTCAAAAAACAAAAGGAAGAAGAAAACTACAAATCCCTATCTCCCCCCCCTTACAGTTCCCGGGAAGCAAGAGTCCTCAAATTGTTCCTGCTTAGACCCCTGAATCCTGTAGAAGGAAATGGGGACAGCTGTGAGAGCGGGCGAGGAAGGACATCCAATAGGGGGGAGAGGAAATGTGGATGAGTGGACAAACGGGAGAAGGGATATGGAGAGGAGGGGTCAGTGGAGATAAAATGGTAAAGGGGGGCTGAAAAGAGCAAAATAACAGGGAGGAAATGGGAGAAAGGAGTAAAGATCACAGAAGAGACAAAAAGATAAAATGGTAGAGAAAAAGAAGGAAGGGTTAGGGTTAAAGGACGCGGAGAGGGTGGCAAAGTGAACGCGAAAAAGGCTGTCACTGGGGTGATAAAAAAGGATGTCACTGGGAAGAAGGAGATTAAGGGGGTGTTACCTAAAGGGCTTCACGCAAGCAGGTGAATGGGATACACGGGGAAGGAGGAGCTGGAAACCGAGCAGGCGGTAACGAGAGGCTGAGGGTGAAGGCAAGGAGTCTGAGGGGGACACCAGAGCTAGGGAGGGACAGGCCCGCGGGTACTCGGGTGGCGGGAGGGGGCTAGGGTGGCGGGCGGCTGCGGCTTGGGCAGGCCTCGCTCCTCACCATGGCTGAGCCGGCCTGGTCCTCGGGCATGCAGCCTCTGTCCTGGGTGCGGCGGCGGGCCGGACCGGAGCCCGCCCCCAGGCTGAGCCGGCGCTGGGGCTCCAGGAGGCTCTGGCGAGAGGCGGCTCCGGGCTCCGCCCAGGCCTCGGCCTCTTTCCCTCAGAAGCTAGAAGTGCAGCAGCCGCAGCCGCAGCCCGCACTGGAGCGCAAACCCCGCCCCCGTGAGGCTCCGCCCTGGCTCGCGAGCCGAGCTTGGCCCCGCCTCCTCTCGCAATGCGCAGACTCGACCGAGGAGTCCCGGCTCCAAGCCCAACCTCTGGCTTCTCCCCTCATCCCAGGCCTTTAAAGGAGCCATACACTTCAAATCCTCCTAGGCTCTCTATAAAAATGCGGAGAGCTTTAAGTATTACGTCATGACCAAAGACTAGCGCACCCGCTCGTTTCAGTCACCTATAAACCCCTCTGCCACTTACCATCATTCTTTAAGATTTTAGTTTCTGGTTCACTGTCATTCATTACTACTATTGTCATAATTCTTGGTGATTTCAACATTCTCTTAAATGATTCTTCCAATCCTCTGGCCTCCGAGATTTCTCTCTAGGGATAATCCTGTCACTCCCATGCTCATGTCTTAGATCTTCTCATTAGCAATAATTGTAACCCCTCTATAATCTCGATTTTTATTCACCTAACGCTCCCACCACAGCCTCCTTCCTGTCTAGCTCACTCCCTCTGATAATGCTCCAACTCCAAGAAACTGTTCAGCTCCGCTAAGATCCAAATTTATTGATCTACCCAAATCCATTGATCCTACTATGTTTTCACTATTCCTCCTCACACTGCCCTCGTGTCCTCATTTTCTTCCTTAAACAGCTTAAATTCTATTGTCCATCATGAAAATCATTCCGAGGTATTCACCTTCATTTCTCCAGTCCTTCTGAGGAAACTCCAATCCTGAACCTGAAGCAAAATGGGGGAGGGTAGAGAAGAATCCCAAACCGTACTTTCTGGTTGACTGACTCTCCCTAAATTTGATATTATTCTCAAAAGGACCCATAATGCTCGGCTGTACTACATTTCTCCAGTTTCATGCATTTTCCCATCCTCCTATATAACTATTTCACATCTTCTTTCTCTTTAAACCTGCAACATTTCCTCCCTCGTGCTCATTTAACTGATAACTTGCTTCCAATTCAGAGAGAAAATGAAACAGAACACCTACAAGTACCACCAACCCCCACGACTTCCAACCAACCCGTAACCCTGCTTCTATACTCTGCCTTCCTTTCTTTACTAGAAATGAATTATTTTTCTTTTAGTTAATATCAAACCCTCCTCAGTTCTTCTCAAGAATCTGTTGTAAAAGATCCAGAGATTTTCCCCCCAGTCACAGACCTAAATTTTTGTAAAATACAATAAAAATTAATTACTACAAAAGATGAAATTAAAAAAACAGACATACAAAAGGCAAGTCCCGTTTTTCTTTTTACCTTCTTAACTATTTTCAAGTGTACAATTCAGTGGTATAAAGTACATCCACATTGTTGTGCAACTGTCCCCACCATGAAGCTCCAGAACTCTTTTCATCTTGCAAAACTGAAACTCTGTACCCGTTCAACAATAACTTCCCATCCCTCTTCTCCCCAACCCCTGGCAACCACTGTTCTACTTTCTGTCTCTGTAAGACTATTCTAGATCAGATTTTTTATTATTAAATCCAATAGACATAATTTTTTCTGTCATATTGTTATAAAAGTTTTAAAATATTTACTCTCAACTGCCATCACAAACTAGTGACAAACCATTTGTAGATCATCATTAGTCCACAGATCACACTTTGAGGAGCAAAAGTATGTTCATAACATTTCATTTTCTTTTTTTTTTTTTTTTTTTTTGAGACAGAGTCTCGCTTTGTTGCCCAGGCTAGAGTGAGTGCCGTGGCGTCAGCCTAGCTCACAGCAACCTCAAACTCCTGGGCTCGAGCGATCCTTCTGCCTCAGCCTCCCTGGTAGCTGGGACTACAGGCATGTGCCACCATGCCCGGCTAATTTTTTATATATATATCAGTTGGCCAATTGATTTCTTTCTATTTATAGTAGAGACGGGGTCTCGCTCTTGCTCAGGCTGGTTTTGAACTCCTGACCTTGAGCAATCCGCCCGCCTCGGCCTCCCAAGAGCTAGGATTACAGGCGTGAGCCACAGCGCCCGGCCAACATTTCATTTTCTCACAGAATCTATCCAGCAATTCTCCCTCTCTCCTACACCACCATTTTTTAATTTTTTTTCTCATGGTTATACAAATGTGAATTTATTTCTTCCATCTTAAAACAAACAAACAATCCTCTCTCCACTCGGCTTGACCCTCCAGCTACGGCCTCATTTCTGTTTTCCTTTACAGCAAAATGCCTCACAAAGGTGACCTGTACTGTATCAGATGTCTTGACTTCCTTTTTGCCATTTTCTGTGGGAGCCTCTCCAGTTAAGCTTTTACCTCCTCCACTCCACTGAAATGCTCTTGTCAAGGTCACCAGTGATGTCCATTTGCTAACACCAGTGAATTCTCAGTGCCCATGTTACTTGACCTAGCAACAACACCAAACACAGCCCATCATTTCCCCCTCCTTGGCTACCATAACATTCCATACTGGTGGTTCTCCTGTCTCACTGGCTGCTCCTAGTTTCTCCTCATTTCTCTGACTTCTAAATACTTTACAGACCCAGAGCTCAACACTTAGACTTTTTATCTTTTCCATTTATACTCTTTGATGATCTTAACCCATCACATTACTTTAAATATGATCTATATAGTGATAACCTCCAAATTACACCTCTATTCTGAATTTTAGATTTATGTGTCCAACTTTCAACCAAACATCTCCCCCCATATGTTTAATAGGCTGGCTACTATTTTTCCTAGTAGTCACTCAATAGACTTCCCCTCAAGTACTAATGGTCAGGAATAAACTAGGAAATAGCAAAGAGAATAAGGCCACTAATATTAGCTTAGACCAATCATGATTTACTCTTTGATCTAGGAGCTACTTTCCCTAAGCATCTGATGTTAGTGGAGGAAAATCACCATAAAAAAAAAAAATCAGGGTTTTGCCATCAAGAAATAATGGAGCCACAGTTGATCTGTAATCAATGAAACATAATAAAAAATTCAAAAATCCATCAAATTACATGGAAATCCAGTATAATAAAGATAGCATTTCAAATCACTAAGAAAAAAGTGGAATTGTATTTGGTGTTAGAATAACTGGATAAACATTTAGAAATTTTTAACTTGGATCTATATCTCACACTATTCACCAAGATAAATTTCAAATATATCAAAGATTAAAATGTGAAAAAAAGTCCGGGCACGGTGACTCACGCCTGTAATCCTAGCACTCTGGGAGGCTGAGGCAGGCAGATTGCTCGAGGTCAGGAGTTCGAAACCAGCCTGAGCAAGAGTGAGACCCTGTCTCTACTATAAATAGAAAGAAATTAATTGGCCAACTAACATATATATATATATATATATATAAAATTAGCCAGGCATGGTGCCGCATACCTATAGTCTCAGCTACTTGGGAGGCTGAGGCAGGAGGATTGCTTGAGCCCAGGAGTTTGAGGTTGCTGTGAGCTAGGCTGACGCCACGGCACTCACTCTAGCCTGGGCAACAAAGTGAGACCCTGTCTCAAAAAAAAAAATTTTGTGAAAAAAAAAAAATGAAACCAAAACATACTAGAAAAAACCATGGCAGAATTTTTCATAATCCCAAAGTGAGGAAGTTCTTTTTAAGTACATAACAAAACTGAGATGCCATAAAAGAAAAGATTGATAAATTCAACTATGTAGAAATGAAAAATGTCTGAAAGACAAAAGCCACCATAAGGAGAGTAAGATGACAAATGACTGCATACATATATTTGCATTTCATTTCATAGGAAAATGGATAATTTCCATATTTATGTACAGAGCTGAAATCAGTAAGAACAAAAACCCAAAGCGACAAATGCACAAAAGATATGAACTGATAGTTCACAGAAAAAGAAATGGCTCTTAAATGCTTACTCTAACTCATAAGAGAAACACAGTCTTGGTGTGGTGGTTTGTGCCTGTAATCCTAGCACACTGGGAGGCCACAGTGGGAGCATCACTTGAGCTCAGGAGAGCAGCCTGAGCAAGAGCAAGAACCTGTCTCTACCAAAACCAGAAAAAATTAGCCTGGCTTTGTGGCACACCCCTGTCCTCCCAGCTACTGGAGGCTGGAGGTGCTGAGTGAGGCAAGAGGATTGTTTGAGCCCAGGAGTTTGAGGTTGCAGTGAGCTATGATGATGCCACTGCACTCTGCCAAAGATGACAGAGCGAGACTCTGTCTCAGGGGGGAAAAAACACAAATTGGAATATCTTTGAAACATTATATTTCACCTATTAGATTGGCAAAGATGTAGAAGAGTGGTAAGACAGTGTGGTGTGGGAAGTGATGTTTAACAGGTACTCTCACATTTTGTTGGTGGGAGTATAAATTGGAATAACGTTTATGGAGGACGATTTGGTAATGGTATTTATCAAATTTTTAGACCAGGTGTGGTGGCTCACACCTGTAATACCAGCACTTTGGAAGGCCAAGGCAGGAGGATCACTTGTGAGACCAGGCATTAGAGATCAGTGTGGATAATAGAGAGAACCTGTCTCTACAAAAAAAAAAAATTTAGTCCAGCATGGTAGTGAGCACCTGTAGTCCCAGCTACTTGGGAGCTGAGGCTGGAGGATCACTTGAGCCCAGGAGTTTAAGGTTGCTGTGAGCTATGATGAGGCCTGGGCAACAGAGCAACTTGAGCCCAGAAGTTTGAGGTTGCAGTGAGCTATGATGAGGCCTGTCTCAAAATAATAATAATAATGATTTAGAGCTACTTATTTTATAAGTGAAATTAATTGTTACTATGAGGAATGCCTTTATTAATGTTCTAATTTTAAGAGGTTCTGTACAGTTTTTTATTCTTGTTGAGTTAATTATTAATAGAACCAGGTAAGTGGTTACTCATCATAAGGTTAGTGAATGTAATCAACCTCCTTTGGCAAATGGAATTTACAACTTTAAGTGAACAAATATTATTTTGTACAACAAAAATTCTAACAAATGTAATTTCCTGTAACAATTCACAATCTCAAGATTACAAATTGGGATGCCTTGGAACTATTAAAATAAACCTTTCAATGT